CTTCAACAATACTCCGTTCAATTACACACCTATTGTTCCGTCACATTGTGACCGTCTTATATATACCAGACAACACCCAATCTAGGAGTCTCCCGACAATTCACGAAGGTTCGAGAAGGACGTGCCGTGATACTAGTCACGTGACCTCGCTGACGCAACAATATTATTGTGGAATATATGTTTCATATTTTACGAGTTTTTATGGTTGTTTTTTTTTTACTAGAAAAAGCTATTTACTTGATGTAATGATTGTATGAAGTCTAAAAGTTTAGTAAAGTTAAGGCCTCTGTGTGATCTTAAAACTTCCTCTAATATGTGGAAACTAGAATTGGGTGAGTTAGAATTAATTAATCGGTTCAGTGTTAATTAGTGAGTTATATAGTGAAAGTTAGTGCATCTATTTGTCAGCAGTTGAGTTTGTAAGTTAGTTAGCATATTTGTTATCAATGAATTAGTGAAGATTTTTTGGAAGTAAGTGATTGACTTAGCTTAATTTGTGAATTAGGTATATATTAGTTTCGGAATTTCAGTGAATGTCGTCTATACACAAAGTAATTGAAGAAATAAATTAATTCGTTAACATTAGATTCACTGGACTTTGCATTATATTTATCAAATAGTCTTAAATGACTCGTCCAACGATAAATACGTTATAAAAGTGATGGTGAAACTAAAATAAAACTTTGACCAAACTTCAAGATGACAACACGAACATAAAGTGAAATCACATATTTGCTGGAGATAATGAAGCAATGGAAAGAAGAAACAATAGAAACAAATAGAGTATTAAAAGAAAATGTAGAAGAAACGTAAAATGAAAAGAAGATTAATAAGAAAGACACAGAAATTTAAGAGAGAAATTAAAAGAAAGAGATCTACTATTTGAAGAAGAATGAAAACAACAATAAATCATATTAAAGAGAATTAATGAAGCTATTGGGAATGTACAGAGGGGTTACAACTATAAGATTGAAGAAGTACAAAAAGACTATAACAGCAAGATTAATGAGGTAGAAAATATCATCAATGACAGAATAAAACATTTGTAATATGAATTGATAAATGCAATGATCGGACCTGCCACACCTTTTTCTGCATCTGCCTAAAACTTCCAACCTAAAACACTATTTGCTATAAAATATTAAATAGGATAAATTATTTGGTCTATATTTATTACCACTACTATTGTACCATTTATGATTGCATAATATTCCAGTTGTGTCACTACCAAATCTAGTTTCAGAATTTAGCTAGCCAGTTCAGTGATTAAGAAACTGATGAACAATGATGGTACCATGGGAGGCATATCAAGCTCAGTTCAAAATAATTCCAAAATTAAAGGGGGGAGTAAAGAACAAAAAGCTGCTCATTTAAAAGGATTGGCTGTAATGACATTAAGCAACCTTCCAGCTGAAAGCTGTAGAAATTGTGAAGTATTGATAGCTGTCTTATTCAATTGATTCAAAGTGATACACCAGAAGGAAGTTTTCAAAGCAAAGTTCAGGAGCAGAATATGGAGAAAAGAAGAGAAATTAGCTGAACTTGTAGAAGATTTGTTTGTTTTTCCTTGTTGTTCTTAGTTGAATTATCCTCTGCATACCATTTATGAAACCTGTTATATTACAGAAACATTTGACCAACTGTCGGATACCTGTGCACCTGAATACCATTGTGGTATACAAGCTTACTATATGTTTCCTATTCCCTTAGTTAAATATTGTTTCAATATTTCTGTGGATACGGAGCACGCCATAGATACTCATGGAACTGGGTCAGTCAAATAGAAAATCACACATGCTATCTATCAGGAAAGATTGCCGTAACACAAAACATAGTAAATAGGAAGTTATAATGATTTTTTTTCTCCTGGAAAGTCAGGTGATGCCACATGGATATAACCTCCATTGTTTTCCAACAAGAGTGAGTGCAAGTCACATGGGTGGCTGCTGCACCCTGATAATAATAACATCGTTTGTTTTGTTTTTGTCCTAAGTAATATTATGTTTTCTCAGCCTGGAACAAGATGATTGAGAACAAGAAAATTCACAAAAAGCTGCTTTAAGATAAACACCAGTAAAGGTGCCTTTAAAACTCTGATTGTGAATGTGAAGTGTTTTAGAATAGAGAGAGTTTCACAGTGTAATACATTGTGTCCAGTCCCTTCACTTGCTTCAGACTCAGTTGAGGTTAAGATAAATCATATTTTTCTCATAAAATATTTTCTAGCAGGTCATATTTTTCTCCATATAATATTTTCTAGCAGGTCATATTTTTCTCCATATAATATTTTCTAGTAGACCTCCAATTATTTTGTATCTCCTATCCTATTATTTAGTAAATTAGTCAATCTAACAATTCTACACCACCTTGCCAACAAATAGAAATGCTTAAGGTAAAGAAACTTACATAAAGCATTTTGCTCAAAAGAAGGTGAAAGTTGAAAGTTAGTAAAATAAATAGTTTGGTGTTTTGCGATAAACTTACCGAACTATAGCTTTTATCTTATGAAGATGTTTCGATACTATGGTTCGAAACATTGTAATAACAAAAATAAGAATTTGCCTTCTGTAAAAGTTGCTGTTATTGTATTTTGGATTAAACAAACATTTGTTCTTCCTGTCGAATAATATCATCACCTAAACCTGAAGCTGGTTGCAATATAATAGCTGAACGGTTGTTACAGAAATAAAACATTCAAGTGAAGAAACTTTGTATATATTTGTCATTTGACAACCTATATGGAATGGATGGAAAATGCCTGTTGTAAAAAAAACACAAGTGTAGAGGACAACGTTTCGAAAGTTTTCGTCTTTAGATATTAGTTAGAGGGCGCATGACATTAAGCTCGAGAAACTTTCGCTACTATTGAAATATGGGAAGTGTAGTTATAAATATGAGCAAATGGTCAGTTAATGTTAAAATAGGTATTTATTTGAGTAGTGAATGAGAATCCGGAGAATTTAGTGAGAGAATGCGAATATTCAATGTTTGTAATCTATTAAGTTAATTCGTCAGTTTGTAAAGTAATTATGTTATTCAATTACTCAGTGAGCTACGTTTTTAAATTTTATGTATCAAAATGCAAAGATAATTAAGGAAAGCGTACAGCTCACAAATTAACTGAAACGTTTCATTTGAAGTTAGGCCTATACTTAGTTATGGAGTTTATGTATTTGAACTCAGGCCCACATCTTGGGTCAACGTGAGTATAGCCTGTAGAAACATTATAGAAGAAACAAACTAATTCGTTATCGTTGTATGGACAAAAACTTGGCCTTATTTTTGCCACATAATTCTAAAGGACTCGACCAATTGAAGAAAACGTCACAACAATAATAATAAATGCAGTTAACCAGTTTATGTTGGCATGATGTTGCGATTCAGTGGCTTATAACAGCTATTCGCTGATTTTCTTGTCTTGTGTTAAGTTAACAAGTGAGTTAGTAATTGCTTAAAATTCGATCTAATTGACATTTGCTACAGAATATGTATTAACTAGCGTATAGCCCGTCAAAAATGACGGGTAAGTACTACCACCCCCACTCCATAGTATATTCTAACCTCACATTTCATAGTTAACTGAAATAAATAAATTATGCGAAATCAAGCTTGACCAATAAAGAGGCAGAAAAGTGCAGTTGAGACAGTCAAATGTCGATAAATTCATTAGGTGAACCAATCAAAATTATGATCATTCATGAAATGAATTCGTGGCATATTCATAGAATAATTATTGCTAAAAATCAGTTAGTTTACCAACTTCTAATATATACAAAAGCCAGTACGTTTTGGAACACTACTTCCAACAATGGTTTTTATGTCATATGTCTCTTAGCAACAAAAGTATAACCTAATATTATTGTTAGTCTATGTACTGAAAGTATAAAATGAAATGTATAGACATCAAAACTGGAATAATATTTCTTGATTTCTTAATTTAGAGTCTCTGTTGATTAAAGAGGTTTGTATTCTATTAAAAACATTGGTGATATAATAGAAAATAGTTTAATTCAGAAACGATTTAAGTTTAAAATCGAATCGATATTTTTACTTGTATGATAAATTTCATGCACTTCGCTCTAGACTAGGTGATCCCACACTATGTCTTTACTTTAGGCATATTGTATCAATACTTACTACACTTATAAGGTTTTACGGCACACCCCTCCTCACGACCCTCTTGCATTCCCGTCACTAAAATCGCAATGAGCAAACAGTAATCGAACTATTCTATCTGGATAAATGCATTTTGGCTTTTATAACTCCTCCTATTTCGAGAAATCAAGAGTGACGTGACACACACACTGGCTTTTATATAAGTTAGATTCGATTACGTCATAGTAATTGCAATGTATTTACTTTTAGACTAAAAGACTTGACGAGCTAGTCTTCTCACGTATTTAGGTACATCTTTAGGTATTATTGTTATTACTTTAGCCTTAACAGTGGGTACGTTTAATAAATAACAAAATGACAGCATATCCGGAGGAAGATATATGACAATAATAATGATTCTTATAAGAGCCCGAATTTGTTAACAAACCACAGTTATGTAATAAAATCCGTGTTGAAAGTGAGAGTTATCTCCTTTACTCACGTGTAAAGTATGTCCTTTGAGATTTAAGAGTCGACTAACTATACAGTTGTATAGTTGTATTTCCTGTACCATATCGTATGTATTTCTTTAGCAAAATCTATATCATATATGCTTAATCATAAATAAGAATAAAAACATTTATACTTTAAAAACTGTTTATCTTCTTGTGATAAAACGTCTAACTGTATGAAAGAAAACTGTAAGCTTATCTGTTTTGTTATTGTATGAATATCAGGAGCATAGAGGTGAACACATTCATTTATCGTTTATTGCAAATTCCCATCTGTTGTTCATTCCCTTTGATTGGTCGGAGGTTGGCCTCTGGCAGTGGTCGTTCATTGGCTAACTCAAGGGCTGTCCAACACCACCTAGCGACTCTCTAGTTGGTGTTGTCTGTGTTCGGAGTCAGATAGCTGTTTGTTGACGTCACGAAACATGTATTTCCTATGATAATAAGATAGTGAAGATGGTGGAAATGTTTCTGATTTAGTGCGATGCTTGGAGAAAGGTTTGGTTGTTGTTGTTGTGTTTTTTGTATGAAATATGTCCAAAAGTCATAATGGAAACATTCCTTTGCCAAATGGTTGGGATATTGCGTGTGATTTCGATGGGAAAATATATTTTATTGATCATATCAACAAAGAAACAACTTGGCTGGACCCACGCGACAGGTAAGTGTGCAAGCTTGGGATTTTGGAATGTGGGCCCCCCTTGGTCTAAGTTCTAACCTAATCACGCATGATTAGAATTGTGCTTTGAGTTAATTAAGTAAATAACTTACATATACGTATATGTAATGTTTAGGAGTGCAGATGCATATGTGTATGCTGTTTATGGACGATCGTTCTAATTAAATTTTGATTTTTCATATAACAGATTCTAACTCTTAAGTCAAAATAAGGCGTGAAACCCGAGACAGGAGACGATGCATACCAGGGCAGGGTTATCAAGGGGAGGAAATATTTTCAGAGAGGAAATACTGTGGCGCCATTCATATCACTCATTAATCAGTTGATTTGTAATGTGCCCGTTGTACTTTTCTCAGTAATTACCTAGAAATTTGAGAATTTAGTATTTTAACCAAACTATTAATGCCAATTTTCATTTAAATTGCGTTAAGACATAATTTTAAGAGTTAGACTGCAGCAATTAAGTTTATCCAATTGTGCATCACTGTCTATATAGTATAATTGAAGTAACTAATATGCTAAAACTAAAAGGTACAATAAAATTTCATAATTAATTTAATTTGATACTTCTAACCTTTTTGCTTTTTTTGTGGTTTAAGAAACCAGTCTAGGAAGAGATTTAGCTGTTTTTTTAACTAAAAATTTCATTACTCGTAAGCTGAAGCTTTCTCTCATATTTTTGTATTAATTATAATAAGATAGCAGTAGGTATTTTGCTCATTTCCACTGACTCCAATTAATACAGTACTGCTACCAATTGTATTCAGAAATAGACTTAGAAATGTGTCTCAACAATGTTTTCTAAGTTCTACATTTTATGAGCTAAATCATGAAATTTTATGAAATTTATCATGAAAGTAGAAATATTGATTCAGTGTTAAACTTAAATCATTTCTAAATTAAGCTATTTTCTGTTATATCACCAACCTTTTTAATAAAAAAACAAACCTCTTTAATCAACAGAGACTCTAAGAAATCAACAAATATTTTTCCAGTTTTGTTGTCTATACATTTCATTTTATACTTTCAGTACATAGACTAATGATGATATTAGGTTATACTTTTGTTGCTGAGCAACATGACATATAAGCCATTGTTGGAGTGTAATGTTAGGAAAATGCCCTGACTTTTATATATGTTAGAAGTTGTTAATCTAACTGATTTTTACCAATAAGTATTCTGTGAATAAGCTACAAGTTCATTACATCAATGATTTTAATTTTGATTGGCTCACAAAGGAATTTATTGTCATTTGACTGCGTGGACTGCATTTTTCTGCCTCTTTGTTAGTCAAGCTTGATTTTGTATAAATTATTTATTTCAGTTAGTTATGAAATCTGAAGTTAGAGTATACTATGGGGTGGGGGTGGTAGTACTTGCTCTATTATTTTTGATAGGCTATATGTTAGTTCATTAAATAAAGCTTAAACTAAAACTTTATTGTGGTGAGGGAGCTTGAAAAGTTGATAAACATTGATAGAATAGCTAGGAGAACAAAGAGTTTGGAATTAGGAAATTCAAAGTATAAGTTAAATAGTCCTCCAGTGGGACAATGATAAGTCTACAGATTTACAAAGCTAAAATCAAAGGTTTGGTTCCCCTTAGTGGACATAGCCGATAGCCCGATGTGACTTTGCTGTAACTAACACACATACACATAAGTTGAATAATAGTTTTAAAGTTAACTGTGTGATTGACGGATCAACAATAAGCGTAGTTGCTATTATTATAATGATATGAGTCTTAGGGACAAATCAGATGAACTGAGAGCTTTAGCAGAAATGTAAGACTAATATATAATGGGACCTTCTGAAACTTGGTTATAAGTTATTTAATGGTTACAGACTCTTTGAAAGCCAATATTGATGTTATGAAACAAGATTTATCATTAATTAACTGGAACAGTGAGTTAAAAAGTGATGTAGGACAGATTTGGGATATTTTAAACAATAAAGTGTATTTTATACAAGAAAGATGTGTTTTTAAAAAAAGGAAAATGAAAACAGGAAAGATCAAATCTAATTAGCTTATTAAATACATAAATTTAAGAAGTTTAAATTTACTGAGAGGTTGGAAGATTTACAAAAGTATATGGAGGTTATGTATTTGGTTAAAAAAGAAATTAGACAATTCAAAAGGGTTTATGAGAAACAACTGTCTAATAATGCTAAAACTAACAGCAGGGATTATTTTCTAAAGATGTTCAATTAAAATGTTTAAATGGGGATTGAGTCCTTAAAAGGTGCTGATGGCAAGGTTTTTGTTCAAATTAAATGTCTGAGCTTATCATGTTTTCTTTCATTTTCCAAGAGTTAGATATCAGAATTATTCCTGACTTTGAGCATTCTATGTGAATGATTGGAATTGACCTGAATCATGTAGTTATTAGTCCGTTTTGATGGTAAGTAGAGAGACTGAGAGATTAAAAATAGATAAAGCACCAGGGTCAAACATGGTTTTTCCCTCAGGGTTGTAAAAGTGGTCAGAGATCAGGTATGAGAGCCCCTGTCTTTCTGTATTATTGGTTCATTTGACAGTGGTCAGAATTCTGATGATTGGAGGGTTGCTTTTGTTACTTCTATTTTGAAAGAGTGAGATAAGAGTTACCCTGGAAATTATTGTCCACTTAGTCTTACTTCTGTAATGGTGGGAAAGAAGTTCACAAAGTTATTTAGTGAAATGTGATATAATAGGTGAAAATGAACATTGATTTAACGTATGGAAATCTTGCCTTACTAAACTGTTATCCTTTTTTTTTTTCAAAGATATCTGGACAAAGGAAAGGGTATAATTTGATTTACCTAATTTAAAAAAAAACTAAGGTACTACACAAAAAGTGAGTCAAGAAAATTACATCAATAGGGTGGTGAAAGGCTAGTTAATTGGACTGTAGGTAGTTGAAATGGAGAAAGTAAAACATTGTATACCATCTACGGACAAGAGACCATATATCCTTCAAGGCTGTCCTTGCACACCTATCCTTGGGAAAATTTAATCCCACCCTCTACTTTGCAGGAAATCATCTAAACCTCTCTTAAACTCCTGTAAAGTGCTGCCCTCCACTGTTGATAACAGGAAATTATTCTGTGAGTCAGTCACCCTTTTAGAAAATTTGAAAAAAAGTTGTAATAACTGGAAACTAGTCTGTCTTTTCCAAATGTTAAACTTGTGATCTCTCATTTTGTTACTTTAGTAATGTAGCACAAAGACTGTTAAAAAGGAGTCTTTTGTTGTTGTTTTTTTGTCTTATTTACATTAATAACAATGATGGGGGCATTAATTATTAATTAATGAAATTTTCTAATAATATGGGGTATTTCTAGCTGTATTGATGTTGTCAGAAGCCAGCATGGGTCCCAGGGCAAACATCCTTGCTGGACCACCTTTTTTTTCTCTTTTTTTTAATGTTTTTAAGAACTTATTATTAAAAAGATCTTGAATTAGGACAGCAAAAAGCTCATAAACAAGGCAAGAATCATAGCAGAAGCCATTTTTAGCACACAGTATAAGCAAAAAACCTTTAATAAAGTATCAACAAATATCTATTAAATCTATAAAGTAACAAATATATATATCTATTATTACTCAAGTTATTATTTCAACCATTCTGAATGTATTAAGCATCTATATGCAAAGAAAAGCCAAAACTAATAATTGTTGGGTTGTGATATCATATGAAAAGTAGTAGTAAATTGTAATTAATATATGTTTAATGTATTGTACAATATATTTAGTATAAAAATACTAATGAGTGATGTGTAATGTAATAGATGGTTTTTTGATACCAGACACATTTGAAAGAAACAAATAATGCAATATTGATAATTAAAAGAAGTACTCTGTTCTGTAAAACTTAAAACTTGTTTACTATCAGATACACACAGCATAATATTTATGGTTATGTTTCACCATGTTAAACTGGCATTTTCAGGTACAAGAAGTGAGCTCCTGATCTAGATAACATGAAAAATTAGCAGATGGACACATTGATACTTGATTAGTTGAGCTTAACAAGACTGCAGTACAATAAAAAGATGTTACAAATGGGCAAAGAATTATTGCTTGTTTTGTATACATGAGGAAACTTAATCATAAAATCAACTGGAAATCAGCCAAATTAATATATAAAACTGGAAATTATGTCAAAAGAAAAATTGTGGAAGGTTCATTGATCTAAAGGTTTCAGAACTTCAAATACCATTATGGGTCAGTTGAAGCTGAACCCCCCACCCCCCTCTCTCTGATGTCATATACCATTAAGGGACTTGGAACTTCTGTTATGAATAAACAGTGTATGTGTTTCTCTGAATAACCAATCGTTAGACAGAAGAGGACTTGTGAAAATGTTGAAAACTGTAAACAAATAAATTTAATGTTGCTCTAAAGTAGTAGTTCAAAACATTATTTTAGATTTTACCTGATATTGTGTATTACCTACTATTAGAATGTTAATATTCTTATAATTGTTAAGAAAATGATTTCTGATATGTTAGGCATTTTTTATAGGTGAATGTAGTTCAATGTATTATGTTGTAAATTCACCTCATAAATAGAAAAGATAAAATATATGTATACAACAATTCAGTGTCAGAAGTTTCAACTACAGTTAGATGATGCAACTGTATATCAGAGGATTTATAAATTTTAGGTTCAATCTCTTTGATAATAAGGCTTTTTTATTTTGTGGCAGTTTATATTTTTTTCTCTATTGAGAATTTCAATATTGTCTAGTTGAAATGAATAAACATGCTTGAACATATGTTCATAAACTTGAGAGGGAGGTTTGTTGTGTTCTTTACCACAGGTAGGAACTTGTCTTGTAGTTGATGTACCTGATGATTTCAGATTAACCTGTTAAATCATGGTAACCATAAATATTATACTATGGATTTCCATCAGTAAACATGTTTTAAGTTTAAATGCTAAATTATTTTCTCACATTTTCTCCCACTATGAAATGTAGTTTGTCCTTAGAAGTACAA